ACTTTGTTTAATTACCATTATAACTAGCTATCTCACAATGTTTACATATGAATAAAAGCCTACATTAAAATCTGTAGGCTTTTACAGATTTACAGAAAATAAGACTAAAATGCTCAGACTTTGTTGACTAAAACTTGATTAGACTAAAAAGAGTATGAACGTGACTAAAACTAATAAAAACTAACACAGCTAAACCAGTTTGTGTCGAAGGGTTTGTGAAAGTCACTTTCTTTGTCGTGGATTGTGTTTTAAACCATATGGAATTTAGGTTGTGAGCTGTGTTTGATTATTTGGTAAGAGGAGAATCATTGCTTTCAGATACATGTTAGCAGGTAAGGAAACAACAAGAACATGCCGAGATCAGGGATGGGATGGCCGAGATCCTCTCTGTGAATGTATGTTAGTTCTTCCATTTGAATGAAATATAATATTGAAGAGCACAAAACCATTCCCAATTTGTATTAAAATATATTTTTTTTTTGTCCTGGAAATAAATACCTATTCATCTGGATATGTTTTTCTCTTTAGCGGTGAAATGTTCAGCACCTCCAGCCATAGAAAATGGGCAACTTGAAGATGAGCCTTTGGAGAGTTATGATTATTTAGAAGCAGTCTCCTATAGATGTAACAAAGGACTTAATCTTATAGGACAATCAACACTTCATTGTTCTGAGGATGGAACCTTTAAACCAGATCCGCCTAAATGTTTTGGTAAGTTATGGTTAAAATGCCAGTCATGAGATGAAGGAAAAAAAAGTTTCTTCCTGTTAATGAATAAAATATTTAATGATCAATACTTTTCTTTTACATAAACATTTTTTCTTTCCTTTTTTTCCCAGATGGGTGTCCAACGCCTACAATTCCTAATGCAAAAAGAATCGGTGGAAAATCACCCCCCTACAAACTGGGTAACTTTATAGAATACAAATGTGAAGATGGCTATAAACTGGAAGGAGTTGCTTATATTTTGTGTGAAGCAAATGGATGGAGCCCTGAACCACCACAATGCATTGGTAAGATTGAAATGATTTATTTTAGTAATGTATGACTGCAATTTGTAAAAGAACAGTTCACCCAGAATGAAAGTTGTGATATACTTACTTGTGTTGTTTGTTGAGGAAGTCTTCGTGAGCTATAGTGAGTCTAGCTAACCTTCACATTAGTAGTTCAGAAGATAGAAATAAGTAATAATGGTATAATAACTAAAATGTGACCCTGGACCACAAAACCTGTCATAAGGGTAAATTTTTTGAAATTGAGATTTATATATTTGGCAAATCACCCCCCTACAAACTGGGTAACTTTATAGAATACAAATGTGAAGATGGCTATAAACTGGAAGGAGTTGCTTATATTTTGTGTGAAGCAAATGGATGGAGCCCTGAACCACCACGATGCATTGGTAAGATTGAAATGATTTATTTTAGTAATGTATGACTGCAATTTGTAAAAGAACAGTTCACCCAGAATGAAAGTTGTGATATACTTACTTGTGTTGTTTGTTGAGGAAGTCTTCGTGAGCTATAGTGAGTCTAGCTAACCTTCACATTAGTAGTTCAGAAGATAGAAATAAGTAATAATGGTATAATAACTAAAATGTGACCCTGGACCACAAAACCTGTCATAAGGGTAAATTTTTTGAAATTGAGAAGGCAATATTTGGCCGAGATACAACTATTTGAAAATCTGGAATCTGAGGGTGCAAAAAAATCAAAATACCGAGAAAATCGCCTTTGAAGTTGTCCAAATGAAGTTCTTAGCAATGTATATTACTAATAAAAATTTATGTTTTGATATATTTACAGTAGGAAATTTACAAATTATCTTCATTAAACATGATCTTTACTTAATATCCTAATGATTTTTGGCATAAAAGTTCAATAATTCTGTATACTATAAAACTGTATTACTATAAAAAATCTATAATTCTGACCCATACAATGTATTTTTGGTTATTGCTAGAAATATACTCGTGCTACTTAAGACTGGTTTTGTGATCCAGGGTCACAAATAGTATTCAGTAGTATATAAATAGTATTTAGTAAAATAGAATTCTCTGCGGATTCGTTTACAAACAAGGCACAATTCAACGGCGGGTTTTCTGAAAGGCTGAAATTAAAAGAGATGCTGTGCGACTATATTGGATTCGACAGTAATGTCGCACCACACAAGTGTGAGTGTGTGAGTAACTGTTTTTATTACGTGATCACTATTGCTTTATCTGTTATTACAGATCGTTTGGTATGTACTGACTGAGTATTTATGCGTTTTAACCTAAATCACAGCAGCGTCCATCTATGAAGGATGTAGGCTGTCAAACATACACAACTGTTAGCCAATCATAGCAGTCGGCGTTTACTTCCGAGTCTACAATCCTCCACGTCGATTCAAACAGAGCGTTCCGATGAGGGGGTCAAAACAAGACAGAAAATAGCCTACAAAGTAATATAAAAGGCAGTTCATGACCCCTTTAAGAGTGTGACTATTTCTGGGGTTATCTGCACTTGTACTCACATTTCTATAGTTCCCTAACCCAATGCAAATGTTGATTCTCAGCCCTACCTACAACTCCTGAGATTTCCACACCATCCAAGGCTCCTAAAGAGAATGATATTGTCTTATGAATCTATATTTTATTATAAAAATTAGGGATGCACCGATACTGAGCTCCTGTACTCGTACTTGTACTCGTTAAAATGCCCCGATACCAAACGCCGATACCACACAGCATGTGACAAGTGCCGTATTCAGAGTCAGACAAAGAAACACTGACAACAGAACAACAGAGAGCAGAATGGAGTTATTAGATATTAAGGATGTCTACGAAGTATATGTATGCAATTAATATAATGTTAAACATTCAGTATTAATGCCTGCATAGGTGACGTGCGCGAGCTGATAAGCAAAACACGCTGAGTGGATTGAGCGCACAGCGGCGCAGATGTTCGAGCTTGTCGAACGAATATCCCTTTCTCACAGACATCACTG